AGACCAGATCCACCTACTGCCGCTTCGATATGTTTCCGATCTACCGCCCAACTTCCATCTTCTAGCAACTATTCGAGGAAGGTAAGACCTTTGTTCAGATTTTGCGTATTTTAGGGATATTTAAAAAGATATTTTTGGTTTCCCTATATTTTAGGATATTTAAAAAAATTCAAGTGTGGGACCGATATGTGTCTTTTGTTTATAACTAGATCTGAGAACTATATATCTACAACTGCAACAGACTTACTATATTTATATAGCTTAAATTCTAAACATGGTAAAAGTTAGAGGATGAACATCTGGACAATGATTAAAAGCTACTGGTATAACAGAACGTTAAAAGGAATCGTGCAAAATTAACTTAGAAAGTGAAAAAGATTTATAGATGCAGTAGTTTATATATTTCTTGTTTGTTAATTTTTACAGTAATATTTACAAATTAGATTCACTGAGCTAACTTTACTCGTATATTTCAAGAAAAGGAAAGGGTCTCAAGATAGTTGAAGAAGAACGTGTTAGAGAGGTCATTATTGGTATATACATGTATTGACATTCTACTTATGATATTTGAGTTATATAATTGTATATACATGTATTGACTTTCGTATTTTGTTAATTCTTGAATTGATATATACATGTATTGACATAATTGAGTTTCATGGTGATATAGACGTGTATTGAATTATAATTTTGATTTTTCTTTAATTGGTATATACATTTATTGATCTTTTAATTTTGATAAATTTTCTAATGTTTTAAAGTACGATACAAAGTCTAATGAAGAGAATAAAAGAGTCAATAATGAATCCACCGATGAACATAAGAAAAATAACTCATCGTCAAAAGAAGTTTAAGAAACTGAATCTGATGACGATACACGTCCAAAGGCTACAAATTTAAGAGGCATCACCTATTTCCTAATCGTTTTGATTTATGGGTTGTTAGTCTTCGATTTTTTAATTTACATTTGTTGTAGATGATATTATTAAATGATAAAGAAATAGGAAAACATACAAAGAACTTGTGACAGCATATACTCCTTAGTGGTTATGTATATATACCAATTGATGCAAATATGTCTATATACATTAAGAAGATAGAGTAGAACAATTGCAAAACAATGAGATGAGAGATGAACCGTTGTACACAAATCGTTTAAATTAATTGAAATACAAAACAAAGTAATTAAAATAATTAACTTGAAATCCCTTGAATGTAGGAAAATCATTTTGAATTCAAAACAAAGTTGGTTAGTTTGTTAAATATAATAAAAAGCCAAAAAGACATAGAAAAGGGCATTGTTGGAAAACTATGTAAAACTCCTAAAATATCCTTTAACCATTTGTGCAAAATTTAAAACTAATAGACATTTTTAAAAACGGGTGGCAAAATTTAGCCACCCACTTAAATTTTCCGATAATAATTACACAAATGGATTCATTCTACAAGACTTACACTTGTCTTAAAATACACCCTTAAGATGGAACCCATTTGCATTTTACCAATATACCATTTTTTATATACATATAATTATTATTAAGATATTGAAATTCAAAATGGAAAAATGGTTGATCTGGGGTTTTCATTTTAAATCCATAAATTAATGCACTTTTTCACTTTCCTAAAAAAAAAACTTCTCAAATTTTTAGTTATCTGTTCATCTTCTTCATCCGTCTTCTTTTGTCTCACTTTTCATTATTGTTTCAGGTAGGTCGTCTCCTCGTCTTCTTAGTGTTCTCCGTTTTCTTTCGTTACCGTCTCTGACAACCCATTTCCAATTCGCTCGCTTTTCACCATTGTTTCCGATAGTTTGTTGTTGGTTTACTATTTGTGAATATTTGCTGTAAATTAGTTGTAAATGTTAATTGTTATTTATCGTTATTTCCTTTTATGTTTTTTTGTCTCTCTTCTATGTAAGAAGGCTATGTATTTCTTACTAGATTATATATATTGGAATCTAATTATTTTTATTCCATCAAAACTAAGTTTTGTTTTCTGCCGTTTACGTTTTAAATATTCTAGGTTGGCTTTTATTTCTAATTTGGGTGTTCGGTTTCTGGATATTTAAAAAGTATTCGATGGTAACGTTGTATATATTTGATTATGTAGGTTATTTGCTTTGCTTGTTAATTGTAGAGGGATATAGTCGTATATACATTATAGTTCATATATAAGTTATAGTTTATAGCTAGATATAGTTTATATCTCTATATAAGTGTATGTTATAGTGGCTATAATTTATAGTCGAATATAGTTTATATCTCCATATAAATGAAAATGTAGACAATAAACCACCATTGTCGTCTTACCTCATCATGTCAGCAAGTTTACTCTCGTGCTCTCCAACAAATATTAGTGAGATTGAGCCAAATATTGCATTTGAAATATATTGAATTGAGCTAAAAATTGGAATGAAATGAACAAATATTTTGTAATAAATTTCATCATTTAGTAGAATGTATTAAGGAGTAAATTAGGGAATTATAGGAATAACTGATTTGGATCCCACAATAATTTAATGTTTACAAAATCAAATTTGGAACATTACATCTTCTACATTTAAATAAAAAAACTAATTATAATAAATATAAATGCCATAAATAAGGGCAAATTTGGTATTTGGGAAAAGTTTTAAATCCAAAAATCTAAAATTAAAATTTGTAAACATTAGACATTTGTAAAAATAAGTTTCCAAAACAGCCAATCCAAGACATTATCTCAAAAAAAAAAAAACAAAGAAAAAAAAAAGAAAACTCTAAACATCTATCCCCTTTTTCTTGGGTTTTTGGGTTGAATAGCCGTTTCCCATAGGCTCACTTTGATGTATGCCCCATCTTAAAACTTTTGTTTTCTAACCAGTTGCTAACATTATTTTCGTGTGAAATTATGTATTTGTCCTCCTTATTTTTCTTCAATTTCTCTACTTTCTATTCCCTTTTCGTCTCCTCTCTCTCCTCTCTCTTCTTCATTTTTCTCTCTCTTACTTGCACAATAAAGACGAAGAAGAAAAAAAAATATCTATCTAGCTTTGCTCAATCTGCCTTCCCTCTTCCCCATTTTTTACCATTGTTATTTGTGCTACCTGTTTCCGCATCTCCTCTTCCTGCGATTCACGTTGATTGTGGAAGACTGGAGTTCTGAAAGCCGATGGCGGTAGAGCAACCGATGACGACACGGACAATGGCAGCACAATCGAAAATCACATCATTCAACTACACTATGCATTTCTCAGATCTCTCTAATGGAAGGATCTCTCTCATATCTATCTCACTCTCTGTCAGATTTTGTTCGCTCTTGCTCTCGATCAGATCTTTGCTGAAAGCGAGAGCAAGAGCGAGAACTTGAACGAGACTGAGACCGAGAACTTGAGCGAAACTGAGAGTGAGAACTTGATCGAGAGCGAGAGCGAGAGAGATTTGAATTTTTTTTACGTTGATTTTGAGACTTCGAGAATGATCACGAGATTGGAGTGAGAAAGTTTAAAGCAGATTTCATTTTCTTCCTTCCTCATATTTTGTTTCTATTTTTCAATTCAATTTAACGTATATTTTTCAAAATTTTATTTTCTTAATTAATTGTTTAATGTATATTTCCCAAATTTTGTTTTCTTTTATTCAATTTAATTTTGTATATATTTCCTCCCATTCTGTTTCATTTTATTCCATTCAATTTAATGTATATTTTCCCAAATTTTGTTTTCTTTTATTCAACTCAATTTAATATATATGGTATTAGGGTTAAAATTAGAAATAAAAATTATAATTTATTATCTAACATCGTGATTCATTTGCCTTCCTCTGCCCTCATCACACGCTCCACAAAGATCGACTGCTGCAGAATCGTGCCGCCATCACAATTTCAATTAAAATTATAATTGAAAGGAAGTGAAACAAATCTCTATCTAAGTCATTATTTTAACTAATAATTTGAAAAATGAAACAAATATCTATATTTAATATATCCCCTAATGGAATTCAAATTTAAAATTTAATCCATTTATGTAAAAGTAATATATCTCTCCTGAAATGTCTCCCCTAATATTAACTATAATTGAAATTCAAATTTAAATTTTAATCCAATTATTGGGAATCTAAAATATCTCTCTTTAATCTCTCCCATTTTAATTATGATTGAAATTTAAATTTAAAATTAAATTGTGAAAAAAATAATTTCTGTCTCACGTTTCCCCCTAAACCTCTTCCCAAAAATCTGCCCCATTTTCGTTCTTCTCTCCGCTTCTCCCCCACCACGTTTTCTTCTTCCTCTCTTCTATCCTCGGCGATGGTCGAAGCTATGAAGGGCGGATGACGATATGGACGCGAACCGTGTTTCCGATCGAAGATCGCTCTGCTTCGGATCTCGCTCTCGCCCGCGCTCTTGAGCGCACTGACGGCGAACAATTTATCGCCAGAGAGGATAGAGATGATGGCAGCAGTGAAACTGTGTGGTGAGGTGAGAGTGTAATGTTTTTAGAGGGAGAATGAAAAAAAAATGCCGTGTTTGTAACTAGAACAAAGGCGTGGGGGCGGTAGGGATTTTAGAGAGAGAGAGAGGGAAAAAACCTATTTTTAGCAGGAGAGGGTGAGACACTTTTTTTTATTGTAATATATTGAGATTGAAGAGTGAAAAACAAAAAAATAAGTGGGAGACAGGAAGAATAATTACCAAGTGAAAAAAATAGAGGAGAGAGAAAGGAGATTGGAAGAGAATGAAGAAGAGAGAGAAAAAAATGAAAAATATGAGAGCCGGAAACCAAAAAAACAGAAACGAGAAAAAAAATAATAAATGGTAAATATATAATTTCACACAAAATGACGTAAGCAAGTGGTTAGAAAACATAAGTTTTGGGGAGGTGGGCTATGGGAATGGGTTATTCAACCTAAAAACCCTTTCTTTTCTTCTTCTCTTATCTTCTTTTCCAACCCCCCAATCGTCGCCCCCTATTATTGATAGCTCCTCTGAAACCCAAACATAGCAGCGGCGGTGCTAGTCCACTCCGACCGGCACGACGACACATCCGACGAGTACTTTCGGTGTGTTTTGAACCCGTAACAGCAGCGACCCAAGAGCAGATTTCCTCTCAAGAACGACGATGTTCTCTCGCTGGTCGTTGGATTATGGCAGCATGTGGCAAACTACAGTAGCGACGACGATTCTAGTGTGCGGCGGTACGATTCTCGACAACTGCAGTGTCCTGACGATTTTTGCTTTTAGATCCGGTGACCAAGCCTTTGATTCGCACAACCCACAGTGGCCCGAGCATAGAACCAACGGCGATTCTACACCAAGCGCGGCGGTCCGACGCATCTATAGTGTTTGGCGGCAATGCACGACCCATAGCAACCAGGATTTGGCGGCCCGTGTCATGTTTCCAACATCTAGTAGTGTCAGTAGTGGATTCGGCGCATTCTCCACCAATGCAAAACACGGACAACAGCATTTTTGTGGCGTTTTCTTCATTCTGGCGATATTCGACGCTTACCCAAACCCATTCAAAGCTTGATTTGAGTTACCCACCCCTTCGGCATTTATTCGGCGTCGACCCACTCCTATTTGGACCCAGATTGGCGTTACACATTGCTTTTCAACGTCAGACCAGCAAGCCTAAAGCCTCTCAAACTCGAATTTGGAAGCTCAAACTTCCACGACGTTGACCCATTCCTAATCCAAGAGGTTTTAGTGTGAGTCAGTTGGTAACAACTCACCTAAACTTGATTTCGGTTAAATTTAAATTTTTCTAAGTGGATTCTAACCTGAAACATGATCTCGTTTGTTGTAGGAACCCTTCGACAAAGCTTAGTAGTCCTTTAGGACCCTTGTTGTAAGTAGTTCTTACTTGGGGATATTTGTTGTATGTTTCTATGAATCAATTGTCACTTGTTTGTGCCATGATTGTTATTTGCTTGAATGCATGTGGTTGTTGTTACTTTAGAAATGTTGCCATTGATTTTGTGAATGAACTGGTGCATGTTGGTTATGTGGTAAAGTGTATCATGAGTTTGTAAGCATGATGTATATAACATTTTTGGCTATGCTAAGTGTAGACATTGTATTTGGTCCGACTCAAATTTTATTATTATTTTTATTTGTTTATTATTAATATTAATATTAATATTTTATTTTATTAGATTTTTATTTTAATTGTTTTCATTAAAACCCACATCATTTACTTTATTATCAGTTTTAAGGTAAATTTTAATTCAATTAAATTATAAATTTTGTTTTAAGAGAATTTGATTTATTAGAACAAATATATATTAAAAAAATATTTGATTTTAAACGAATTTGTTTTAAATAATTGATTTATTATTAAAAGAGAAGATAAAAAGTGATTTGATTTTTTTAATTAAAAAGATTGATTCTGTCAAAGCCATATAAGGTGACGTCATTTCATTCCTCTCCTACCCCTCCCATTTGTTACCGTTGGAGCATTGCGTATTTAAGAGAGGGAGTACAATATGGGAAAGGGACAGAGAGAAGGCAAGCAAAGGAGAGAAGCCACATTTTGTGTTCCATTTTTTCACCTTTCTCTCTTCATTTTCAAACACCCATTTTCCTTTTGCTTTTACTTTTTTTTCCTTCCTTCCTTTTCATTTCTCTCTCTACCATTCATCTTCTCCCTCCTTTTTCTTCCTCATTTTCACTCCCAAGCCCCTCTCTCGACCTCACAGCTTCGGCGAACACAACGGCGTTGCAGATCTGGTGGCGACCCCAAACCCTTATCTCGAAAGAGACCCTTCAGGGGATGACGTCGGCCGCTCCGCGTCGCCATGATGTTGCGACAACTTGGCGACTCCACTGGGCACTATTGAGAGTCAAGCCATATTTTTGTCGTTATTATCCATTATAAGTTATTTTGGTCCATTATTTTTTTTGTGTGCACATATTGTCATTTAATTATTTGCTTTTATAATTTCACATCATCATGCATTTCACACAATACATAAGCCTTCTACTCGGGCTTTACCTTTAAGATTAGATCGGAGACTAGTAGTGTGACCCTTCGTGGAATTTCGGTTTCCGTGCAGGCTCATGAAATTCTCCACTCAAGTTGACCATACTGCGAAAGCGTATGGAAGATTTTGGGGTCCGTTTTCCTCTAGGTTCTATAGGCATTAACTTTACACTCATTTTAGCATCAGATTTCCGCTATTTATTACTTTATTTGTTTATTTGGTTTGCGTTGGAGTTAATAAAGTGATTCATTTAAAAGAGTCCCATACATTTACATAAGTTTCTCATTTCTCACTTTATTTATTTTTACTATTATTATTATAATAATCGTTATTTTTTACAACGATTAAAAAAAAAGTTTCACAACTTTCCCTTTTTCTTTAAAATTATTTTCCACCAATTGTGCCAAAATTGACCTAAGTCTTAAATCATTAACATTGACAGTAAATTAAAGCATGAGTTCTAGAGAACATGCAGAGTGTAGCGTACTCGTACCCAAGAACGGAAAGAGCAAGACCAATAAATTGTCCGTCAATGGTCAGAGAACATGCAGCATACTCATGGTGACGCATTATTAGAGAATGTCATCAGACCATTTCAAAGTGTAGCGTTCCCAGAAAATCAGTTGGATGTCTTGAAACGATTATGGGAAGGCTTAAGACCAAACAGAAAGATCCAGTTCATAAAAACAAATATGGCCACATAGCGTAGCTCATGTACTTGCGAGTCAACTTCTCATTGTTGAGAGCATTAGTTCGACATTGGGATCCAGCCTATAGATGCTTCACTTTTAGCTCAATGGATATAACTCCAAGTATGAAGGAATACCACACTCTCCTACAAATACCACTGAAAGAGAAAATTGAGGTTTATTCCTATGATGATGAGTTCATATTGAAGAGGGCAATATCACTGCTTGTATGGAAAATATCTGCTGGTGAAGTTGAAAAAGATATGAAAAGGAAGGGAGAAAACACATGCTTGTCGGTAGAATATATCCTGAGTCTTCAACAGAGGTTCGGTAACGATGAAATAGAGCTATCGCTGTTAGCTCTATGCCTATTCAATTTGGTTTTATTCCCCAAAGTTAGTGGGTATGTGGAAGAGCGAGTGGTCAAGCTATTTGTCAAGGTAGAGATGAGAGTTAATCTCGTAATACCCATCCTTGCAGAAACCTTCCGAGCACTAAATTTTTGCAGATCAAGAGGAGTAAGGAAATTTATAGGTTATGTTAAGCTACTATACATTTGGGTCTTGAGTCATATAAATTGTCTACCAGAATTCAAGTGTCCTCAAGTCAAATTTTCAAGATCGTGGAGTAGATTACAGAATCCCATCCTTGAATTCAACCAAGGGGAGTGGAGTGGAGCACTTTTTTCGCAGGACTAAGGCCAAAAGACGTGGAGTGGAGGGCACGTTGGATGTCAACCAAACCTATGATGTATAGGTGTGGCAAATGTCACAGTTTACCGTTATTGGGTCCATGGGGATGCATATCTTATGCCCCATTAATGGTGTTGTGCCAAATATAGGTACGTCAGTTAATCCCAGCCACACATGATTTAAGAAACTCTGAATTTGCCTATGATGTTGGATTTTGCAAAAACAAAATTCAAGAGATCGTAAAGGCGTGGAAAATGATTCCCAGAATTCAAAGTGGCAATTACCACGATAATACATTTGAAGGATACGAACACTGGCATTCGAATAGGGGGGAAATTGTGGTTCTCCTACCAATCGACAAGGGCAAAGGGAAGCTAGAGGTTCTAACTAGGAGAATTCTTACCGACATGAGCCCAAATCAGCCCACTCAGCGGAAGGTTCACAAGATAGAATATGAGCTGCGAGAAGGGAACCCCACATCAGCTTAAGAAAGACTTCAACTAGGGTTCAATCAAGGTTTACCTCGAAGCATTGAATTAGAATTGCAGCAGGCAAGAAGGAAGGTCGGTGACCAAGGAAAAGAAAATAGACTGTTGGAAGTAGAGGTTCGGGACCCTAACAAAAGAATATACCACATAAGTATAAGAAGGGAAACAGAGAGCTCACAGGAAGCCTTGAAGGCACGAGACAATCAAATATCACAACAAATGGCTTCTTTACAAACAGAAATCTTGTCCTTTCATGAAAAAGTCATTGTGTTGGAGGAGAAAGAAGTATAGTTAGCTTAATATGCTCAAGAAAATCAAAGATTAAGGGAAACTGTTCAGACGCTTTCAAGCCGTCTCGACAAAACTCAGAATGCTACTGATGCGTTAATGTAGGATTATGCCCATATCAGGGAACAATACAACCAAGTGGGGGTATGAATTAGACCATGTGAAGCGTGATACCACATTGTTACGTCATAACTCAGAACATGTGCTTACCCAAGTCAGACAGGTAGCTCGAAGGGCAGATGGTTTAGCTGAAGAGGCACGAGCTTTCACGTCTGCCATTACCCCTACACAGCTGGATGACAAAAGTACACTCAAGTTCCTGAGCAAGCGTTGGCGAGATCTAGAGCATTAGAGACAATTTTATTGATACTCTACTTTAATGTACTTCCAATTTCATGATTTAAGCATTAGGGTTCAAATTTGGCACCATTGCTGCTTTCTTGTAATCTTCATTTATTTATCTACCCAATTTATAATAAAACCATGAACTTATTTATTTATGGTTTTCTTTCTCTCTCTTTCTATCTTCTATTTTTCTAAAAACAAAACAGATTGTTCAAGATAGCTCACTCACCGGCACCACATCGCACTTACCGTACCATATGCTTGGCGACAATGACAGATCAAAAAGCTGAGCAGAAGAAAATAAGGAAAGACATTGAGGAGTTGCGCGAAAAGTTAGATGTCATCCTCTTCGCGTTAGAAAAAGGCAAGACGGTTGCGGATCCTGCTACATCTAGCAACCTCGTCCATGAGCCACAAGAAACCCCGCCTTATCCATTTGGGTACAGTCCACCTTTTAGGCCAGTAGCAGAGGGTTTCATGCCACAACATACAATGTACAACCCTCTGTATGATATTCCGGTTGGTTAGTACCCAGCTCCCTTTGTTAAGGGAGCTCAACAAATCCTAACCAACATCATTTTTCGAGAGCCCGAGCAAATGATGTCACCCCCTACAGTCCTTAATCTAGGTGGTCTCCTAGTCAAGACATACCCAGTCAGACAAAGTGCCTCCAGTAACGAGAAGTTCGAAGTTCTGTTGGAAAGATTAAGAGCAGTAGAGGGGACCTGGCAATATTGATGCCTCTCAATTGTGTTTGATATCTGGATTAGTCATCCCTTCGAAGTTTAAGGTGCTAGAATTCGAGAAATATGATGGTTCTTCTTGTCTTAAGAACCACCTTATAATGTACTGTAGGAAGATGACAGTGTACGTCCAAAATGACAAACTGTTGATACACTACATTCAAGATAGTTTATCTAGTCCAGCTTCTCGTTTGTACATGCAGTTGGACAGCTTTCATGTCGGCTCGTGGAAGAATCTGGTCGACTCATTCCTTAAGCAATATAAACATATAGATATGGCTCTAGATCGCTTATACTAGCAAAGAATGAAGAATAACAGTACATAAAGCTTTAAGGAATACGCCCAAAGATGGAGGGACACAGCAACTCAGGTCCAACCTCCTTTAACTGATAAAAAGGTTTCTTCCATGTTCATCAACACCTTAATACAACCCTTCTATGATCAGATGATTTGAAGCACTTCCACAAATTTCTTTGATATTATGACCATCGGAGAAAGAATTGAATATGGGGTCAAGCATGGTCGATTAACTGGTATTTCTAGTGAGACATTAGCCATGATAAAGGCAAGTTCCTCGAAGAAGAAGGAAGGTAAGGTGCAAATGGTAGGAGCAGACCGA